ATTCATCACCACTGAAAGTGGTGCTAAGTAATGCTTTTTTAAGCTGAACATATGCTATGGGGTTTCCAAAATAGTCGAAAAATTTTATTTTACAGTGTCACTTAGGAGGTACAAGTAATGTGATAAGTAAGCTTATATATAGTCATAAGGTAATTGGACAAAATTAACATTAATCAAATTCAAGATTCAATAGGCTGGTTTTAAGCTGTAGCAGGCAATAAAAATAAACGAGAACTAAGCAATATTCTTACATGAAAATCCGCTCCAAAGTATGGAGGTGGAGGAAGCTTAGCAAGGAAGAGGAGAGTGATGCCATCAAAGAGAAGACACGTCCCAGAAGCGCAGCCTACTGCAACAACAGAGCCATCACAAGCTAGACAGACGGCCTTCTGAACCTGAAGCAAAAAGGTTGGAAGAATAAAAAGGCATAAGTGAAACTACGAGTTTTTGAATTGTTAATTGACCTCATGAAGGAAAACATCAATGGTCTCCTTCATCATGAATTGGCTTGCCATAACAATAAGTGTAGCTCAGTGCTTTAGGAGCAAGGTTGGGATTTTCTAAACTCTCTGAAGCCGAGTAAAACTTATCGGATAAGTTAAAAAAAGGCAAAAGCACATTCCAACGTGAACTTACTAACTATTATAGTAAAATATCTTAGTTTGTATTCAGCAAATAAAACCAATAAAAATAAATTAAAGTCTGAATGACTAAATGAATCCAAAGGTAAATCAATGTATATCCAATACCTAAGTTAATCAAATCTTAACATTAAATTCGAACACAGAGAGATTAAAAATAGAAGACTATTTAATTCTTCCAAAGGGTGAATATTTTCCAATTCGTTTAAGAATTAGGCTACGCAATACTGCTACGGTGTGTATCAGCATTAACGCTTATGCACTAAAATGTGATAGTACGAAAGATACAAGTGCGCCAATGAGCAAACTAGATAAGAACCTTATGGGAAGCTAGCAAAAGATACCTTTCCCGGCAAATTCATACATGAAATGTAGATAGGTGAACTAAAATTCCATTTACTTACATAGGCTAGGAAAAGATAAATGCAAAAATGTCTAATTTTCCACCTTTCCAATAATTAAGCAGAATTTTAAAAAATTATAAACAGTAAATCAATGAAGTAAAATTAGAGCAAAATTTTCCATATTTATTTCAGCTCTCCATCGTGGATGAAAAGACAGGGTTATATAAAATAAACAAATGAGGTTAAGTACTTGCATACGAGCAAGGTGCGTACCTTGTTTTGAGGCAAATAGCCGCTCGTTTATATTATTTAGATTATCAGTAGTAGTTTAGGTGTTAGTGGTTCGACAACGAATTTTGGGGAGCAGATTTACACATGAACTGAGTTTTATTTTATAGACATCAGGTGCAAATGCTGAGTATGAATTCATTGGTTAAGGCAAATTAGGCATCAGCATTTATATCGCATTCATATGTGCGCCACTGTCCTAAAAATTGCCCATTCGTAAGTTTAAGGCAGAATGATGGCGCATTAATAGTGTTGCATAAAAAGCGGACTTTTAAAACAACTCCTGCTAACAGTTCAAAAATGGAGGTAACATAAAGCGCAAGATGGGAATGAAAACCGTGAATGCTGAGGCAGGAATACTCTTGTAGGCGTTTTGAAAATGCAGATGATGGGTAAACCGGAAAGGTCTGCACAGCGACCGAAAGATCAGTTTATATCAATCCTTATCATTAAAGGAAGAGATAACATGAGGCGTATAAAAATCTAAAGATCTGCAATCTCGCTGACTCACTTTAAGATCTACCCACTTGTCAAGTCGGCGCTGCCCATTACATTGCAACAGCTGACCTGATTGGCTGATAAAAAGAACCAAAGTTTCTGGTTGGGGTCGGGCACCTGCGGGTCTTCTCTTAGACCCAAAGGACAAATGGTCGCTTGCTGCGTATTCGGAGATGATGTTATTAGCATACACGCAGTTGTTGCTGCTTAAACCGCCCCCATCATTACCCATTGAATATATTATCTCATCACTAAGGTCATTGTCATAACTGGGTTGGGAAAGATGATCTTCCGACGCAGCAGAAGGCACGTTGTGAGGCAAAGCAGACTGGACACTGAGGACTTTCCGTGACGAGGAACGAGCTGATGTCTCAAGTTGAGCAGCCTGGTTTGGAGTGTGAGAAGACGAAGAGGACGAGATACCGGGAAGGGCGGAACGAGACATAGTCGAACTGGATGCCAGAAGACAGACGACGTCGGTGAAAGTGCCATCGATGAGATCGCCTAGAAGAGCATTTCGACCCTGCAGCAGCATAGTCTCTTTGTTTGACTGGAACAAAAGAGGATAGAATAGGCATAAGTAATGAAGGAAGTTGTTTGACCTTTAAATCTCTACTTGGTCATATTGGTAGGAAGACGTATAGGAAAGCACCTAGTCCGGAGTCCATAGAATGCATTATAATTTCCAGAGTCGAAAAGTGGACGTGGTACATCCTCACACATCGTCATTGAGTCTTATCATTCTTAACATCACACTACAACTCGTCAAAGAAACAAGTGAAACCGATCCTTTGACCAATTGTCTGTGACCGCACAAAAGGCCACACCATCTTTGTCTTCATACGTTCGATAAGGTAGAAGACTGTCACATCGGTTGCATGACTAAAAAGGGAGACAGGGTGCACACTTGGCTACACTAAACTCAAATATACTCCTTCATATAACCATACGATTTCCAGAG